TAGAGTGCAGAGAAGAACAAGGATTACTGGGGGGGGCGGGCTAAAGCCTACGAAGAACAGTTGCAGGAACGGGAAAAGTCTAGTTTAATGAAAAGAAGGGCTAAGGGGTGACGAGAGAGCAGCCCCCCACACACACACCCTCCCCCCCAAGGTCAACGTGCCCTAATCAGAATAACAGAAGGACAAAGAGCTGGAAGGGGCCTTGGAGGTCTTCTAGTCCAGCCCCCTCCCCCTCAAGCAGGCCACTCTAGACCAGACAAAAGGCGGCTTATCTCTTCGGTGGAGAGGAAGCCCTCCCAGGGCTCCGCTGGTCTCGGGAGCTGCTTCTGTTCCCGGGCGAGAGCCAAGCAGGCTCGGCCCCGTCGAGCCTTCCGGGCCCGGAGCCCAGCCTCCCCTGGCCCCGCCGCCGGGGGCGGGACGGGGCGGGCGGGCAGCCGGGGGCGGGGCGAGGGCGGCCGGCCTCTCGTGCTCCGCAGCGCCGGCTCGGTCCGCGGCGGCGTCTCGGCGCGCTCCCCGTCCGGCATGGCGGAGGCTCAGCAGCTGCGGGTGCAGGAGGCCATCGACGGCATGGTGCAGGGCCTGGAGCGGGAGCACATCCGCAAGATGCAGGTCGGTCGGTCGGCCGGGCGAGGGGCGGGCGCGGCTCTTCGGGGGGAGCGGGCCGCCGGCCGAGCCACGCGGCCTCCCCTCCGGCGCTGGAGCCGGGGCTTCCCTCCCACCCGCCCTGGGTCCGTCCTCGCGGGCTGACCGGGGCGCCGCTCCCCTCCCCGCAGGGCCTGATGTTCCGCTGCAGCGCCACGTGCTGCGAGAACCCGCGGGCCTCCATGCAGCAGGTGCACCAGTGCATCGAGCGCTGCCACGCGCCGCTGGCCCAGGCGCAGGCCCTGGTCACGCAGGAGCTGGAGCGCTTCCAGGTGAGCAGGCCGCCCCGCCCCGCGACGGGCCCCGGCCCAGGCCGCGGCTCTCCGCGCTCAGAGGGAGGGCGCCCTGGAATCCCCCCCCCCGTTCCCCCCCTAAACACGAAAGCCGCCCCCGCGGGGCGGGGGGGGTGGGGCGGGGGGGGTTGCAGCTGCCTTCGCAGACATAGAAACAGGCCAGGGCGTCGGCTGGGCTCCCCGGCTGCCCTCTTGATTGGCTCTGCCTGCTCTGGGCCTCCCTGCCTGAGAAGCAGCCATTGGGGGTGGGGGTGGGGGGTGGCAGCATCATTTGCATCATTGCCCCGCACCCCAAAGGTCCCCCTGTCCTTTTAGGGATCCGGGATCAGTTGGTCTTCCTGTTGACCCAGGAGACTCTGTGCTGCCCTGTCCCCACCTCTCTGGTTCCCCCCCCCACAGAGCCGCCTCTCTCGCTGCACCATGCATTGCAACGACAAAGCCAAGGACGCCTTGGACTCCGGGAGCAAAGAGTCGCAGGTGAAGCTGCAGCTGGAGAACTGTGTGATGAAGTGTGTGGACGACCACGTGCATCTCATCCCCAGCATGACCAAGAAGATGAAAGAGAGCTTGGCTGGCATCGCTCAGTAGCCCCACCCCTCTGCACAAACCCAGGTCCGGCCAGGAAGGGTGCCATGAACTTGGTGAAACTAGGAAACAAACGTGGGAATACGTCGGGCGCTTTCTTCCGGGTAGGATGGCCGAGGATGCACCCAGCCTGGTGAAAGGAAGGCTGCCGGTTGCCAGAATGGGAAACGGGGGTGGGCTGCGTTTTCTCTGGATATGTTCCCAAGCCCAGGGGATTTCCCTGCCTTGTTTTGACCAGCGCTCCCGACCCTTGTGGTGCTAATGGGGAAGGAGAGGCGAGAAGGTGCTTCCTTAGCAGCCCTAAAGTTTGTCCGCTTGTTGTCTTAGCAGGGCAGATTCACTCAGGCCCGTTCAAGTCCATACCTCTGGTGCCCTACAATAAAGACACAAAATGGCTGCTCCTACAATCCTGCTCAAGGAGGCGGTTGGTTCTGTGCCATGTGATGTAACTGAGTGACAGAAAATACAATATTAAACCTTTTGAATTCTCCAAAGCTGCTGGGAGCTTCTATTTGTGCTTTCATCCACATCAAGCAGGGTTTTTTTTTTCTTTGACCAGGTAGCAGATATGGATGTGTGTGCCTTAATACGTCCTGAGTAGGGAAAATGCGTGTGTGTGTGTGTGTGTCCTGGTCTGGCCAGAACTATGCAGAAGTTTCATCACTGGCAGCTGGCATGTTTTGCTACCCACTCATGACAATGGATTCAAACAGGAAAGGAGCCATCAGAACCTGGAAAGCTAAAGTTTGCTGAGTGAGTCAGAAATGAAGATTTTAAGGGGTTTTTAAAAATGCGACATCAAAATATAAACTTCGTTACCAAAATATGAAGTCTTTTTAGCCACTCCCCAAACAAATGTTTATTAAATTCTTAAAATCTTATGCGGTTTCACATTATTTGCATTTGGCCTATGTTCTGAGTTCATTTCAGTATGGAGAATTTCTGTATTTAGCAGAGTAACCTTATTGGCTACTTTCAAGACATTGTTTTATTAGGGTTTCTTGGAAAAGTGAGCTGGAAAGAATGGTTCCTTCTCTTCATTTCTGGCTGTGGGGGCAGAATAAATAGGAGTAGTGCATATATAAGAAGAAAGGAAATCCTGGTGAGTGATTGACAAACGTGATTATTTCACTTTTTAATGGAGCGAATTGTCATGGTGCTTAAGGCTTTGTGCCCTAGAATAATTCCATAGATTGTGAAGAGTGGAAATAGAGCTGCAATACCAGCATGGGGAGTGGCCTTTTCTGGTTGATTTCTCTCCCCAAAGTCCATTTGCTAACAGTAGAGGGATGGCCATGGCACACTCTCTGAAGGGCTCCAGCATTCCATAACTTTGTCTGTTACTACTTTGCATTTAGCTGTTTTGCTCTCGGCTGTAGAGTCGAATGGTGGCTCAGCTGTAGCTGAATGGAAAAGAAACTTGGCTGGATTTGGGAGAGATACTGAATTTCCTTCCGAGAGGCTTCAAAAAACCAGGGAATGCTGATGACTCCAGTAAACTTGTAGTGATCCATATTTCAGAAAGATAAAAATATACCTAAATGCTTCACACTGTCTCAAAAGGTAAATGTTCTGTTTGTGCAGAACATGTTTATTTGATGCACATCTATTTCTCTGCTCCAGTTAATCTGAATTGATCTGTGGAAATTCAAGAGAATTCCCCGAGTAAAGCATTGCATTGCTTATAGCAGTCTTAGAAGTACTGTGCAGATTTCCTACAGTTGAACAGTTGTGCACTGCTCCAGTCCACAGTGGATCCACAGGATCCATTATCCACAGAATCTTTTGATATTGGGGTTGCTGCTTGGGGAACTTGTGGCTTGTGAGTAATTAGATTACTTTAATAGTTTAAAATAGAAAACTAAAATAGAAAATATTGTTTATGAGTTGGAAAAGTATTGATCAGCAGTCCGCTTAAGATCCCAATAGATTGATTCCAAGAAACAGTGGCCATCGCTGGTTTTTTCCATCTCTGGATATAAATTATTTTCTAAAGATGTGATTAAATACATTTTAAATGATTAAACTATTGTCTGAATTTTCTGTGGGCTGCATTCTGAATTATTTCAGCAATTTCTAGATTACTATAAAATGAATTCAGTCTTGTTGGGAAACCACATAGTACCTCAAGACTGGTGACTTCCAAATGATACCCTTGCAGCTGTTTCCAGGGCAGAAGTGGCTTGCCCTGAATATTTTTCAACTAGGGATCTGTAGCAGTCTGACCTTTTCTGGGGATCAGCCAGGATTGACTTTATGTTCCACCTGTTTTAGTTCACAAGCTAGCGCAAAAGAAACTTCTTCATAGATTATTGAATAGGTCTGAGATACATTTTTTGTTAAAGCACTAATTACTTAACTATGGTACTGGAGGTACGGGGCTAACCTAAAGGGCTGAATGCCTGTTAGGCTAATCACAAGAGGCTGAGTACAGCAAATAATTGAATGTATATAGCATAATCTGATTGGGTGGGTGCGTATCATGCAAAATTAAAATGTGAAATAATGAAAAAAATACATCATTATAAAAAGACGGGTGTAGAGAGAGCAGAGTGAAAAGGAGAGGGAAGTACCATCAATTCAACAGCCACTTTTGTCCAGCATGCAACTCCCCCACCCGGTCCCAAGTGTTTCAGTGCATTTTTGGCCTCTTTTTAGGTGTGTGATTGCATTGACAGTTTTGGATTTGTGGAAGGGGTGATTGAATGTGTGTTCTTTCCTACTAATGGGAGACCAGACTCGTTTTGCTCTCCCATTCAGCGCTTCCTGAATTCTCTGGTGGAGATCAGATGATTGTTTCTCCCGAAAGAACGGATTCCTCCACATGCCATTGCTGGTCATCTCTGGCCCTTTCAAGAGGAGGGCAAATGCAGCCCGGCAGGAAGGCGCTGCTTTGAGAAAGTCTCCAGGAGACCTGCCTGCCACTGCTCACCTTTCCCGCAAAGGAGGCCAACAGACTTCCGGAGGGAAAAGCACCAGGTGAGCTTTGAACCAGGGCTCTCCAACCTGGGCTGCTTTATGTCTTGCAGATTTCAACTCCCAGAATTCCCCAGCCAGTTTTGCTGGGAGTTGAAGTCCTGGGAATTCTGGGAGTTGAAGTCCCCCAGGCATAAAGCGGCGTTGGAGAGCCCTGCACATCGCCTGACCCAGGTCCAGAATGCCAAGAGGCGTGGGGCAACCGCTCCTGCTTGCCTCCTTGGGGGCAGCTGCCCTTCCACCCCGCCGGAGCCCAGCAAAGACACAGGGTAACCGAGGGAGACGAATCCGGGCGAGCGGAGGGAGCGGCAGCGGCAGCCTTCCTGCGCTCCAGGCGGGAAGAGAAACGGCAGAAGCGCGGGAGACGCCAGCGCCATAGCACAACTTTAAAAAGAAGGCGGGACGCTTGCTGATTGGTCACTAGGACCGGATGGCCCCGCCCCTCGCGAGAACTTGGGCGGGCTCCGCGTTCGTCGGCTTGGCCGTCCTTTGTGGTTGCGCCTGCGCCCGAGCCGCCTGGTGATTGGGCAGATAGGTGCGCGCCGTGGTGACGTTTCAACGCAGCAGAGGCGACCGGCAGACGCTTCGCGAGGCGGTCGGCTTGGAAGAGGCAGGATGAGCAAAGCGCACCCGCCGGAGCTGAAGAAGTGAGTGCGCGCCGCGGGGCAGCGTCGGGCGCTCCGCTCGGAGGCACCGCGGGGCGGAGGCGCGGCGGCCAGAGAAGTCAGCGGAGGGCCTAGCGGGCGGCGGGAGCTTGTCCTATGGCCCGTCATGCACTGCGCGGCGTGTGGTCATAGAGCCACTGGCAGAGGTGCCTTCCCCGTCTCACGTGCGCCGGTCCTTCTGGGCCTGGGGACGTTCCGGATGGCCCACACCAAAGCCCCCCGCCCCCCCCATTCCCCTCGGCCTGGGCGGGGCGGGAAATGGGCAGCTCCCCCCCCTCCTGCAGGAGCCGATCTTTGCCGGGGTGGGTGTGGGGGGGCTTTCTTTGGCAGCCTTTTTAGAAGCCTGGCCGTCAAGAGACGCTCCTTCCCCCGGCGGATGTCTTCCTCGGGACAACCGAGTTGGAAGGGGCCGCGGAGGTCTTCTAGTCCAGCCCCCCTGCTCAAGCAGGAGACCGCAAGTGGCCGTCCAGGCTCTCCTTGAGCGCCTGCAGCGATGCCCCCCCACCCCAACCTCTGGGGGCAAAGCGGTCCCGCTGCTTAACGTTTGTCAGCGTGAAGAAGCTTCTCTCTCCCTTCTAGGTTGCTCCTCGGTTAGTTTCCGTCGGTGGCTTCTGTCCTGCCTTCAGGGGCCTTGGAGGTTGTAGGTTCACCTTCGTGGCTGCTCTCGGCTCTCTTTCTAGAGACTCAACATCTTTTGGGTGTCCTAACCCGAATTGGCCTCAGGGTTCCAGGTGTGGACTCACTAAGTGCCATATAAAGCGATAGGACCCCTTCATGGGAACTTGTAAATCTTTTTACAATTAGTTTGGACTAGTTTTTCCTTTTATGTAAAAGCTGATGCATAGAATGAATTAAGCCATTCCAATTTCTCCCTGCTATCCTCCATTGCTTCCATGTCATCCTCTCCCGTTAGTGGACCAGTCATTTCCTTGACTTCTTTCTTGTTTTTTACATGTTGAAAGGGGTCTTTTTTGTTACTTTTGACATTTGTTGCAAGTCTTAGTTCATCCTGAGGCTTTCAGATTCAGGCTATTTGCTACTATTCTGCCTTAGGTTACGTGTCCCTCTTTCCATTTTCTATACTTGTCCTTGAGCCATCCACCTTTCATATATGATTGATTATATGCCATCAAGTAGTTTTTGAATGCTGATGAAATATATTTTTTCATGACTTGGCAGCCTACAAACTTTATTAAACCAAATATAAATTCTACAAAAAAGAACAATCTAATATAAGAATGAGGGAAAAACAATATAAAACAATTTTCAAAATCTCAAAGAAGTGGTGAATTAATGAGATGGCTGTATTGCCTACAAAAACTCTCTGCTACTAGTAGTAATCCTAATTGTTGTTCTTAACTGCAGAATGTTTTTGATATAATTTTTTGTCATTTTTTATTATTCACTGGCCAGTGACATCCTGTACAAATACGATTGATAGATAAGAGTATGATTAAGTTCAACATAAAGTATATAAATCTCCCAGCCAAGGTAACCCCTCAAAACAAGCCGTCCCATTGGGAGAACTCTTCTTTGGGGCCTTGAGTCTAAAAGAAGCTGTACCTTTGTTCCTGCTCTTGGAAAGGAACCGTCTTTCCTGAGAACAACATCCCGGTGTGTCTGTGCATTGACTGTTCTTGCACCATCCTACGCTCAAAGCTTTGGAGTTTCCCATTCCTCAGTCAGGAAATGGGCAAGACATACAAAGCCAGGTTATGAAGACAAATGACAGAAGCTTTGTAAGATTGCTGAAGACAGTGTTTCATAAAGGGTGGCCCCAAGTTATCTTTTTAAACACTGAATCTGCATATTTCTTATATTGAGAATTTTTCTTTATTATGAACTTGACTTGCATGAGGCTTATTTCCTCTGTTTTGAATTTTCAGGTTTATGGACAAGAAGCTATCATGTAAGTGAACTGATTGTTTTAGAGATTCTGTTTTGCAAGGGAAAAAACTATACAATTTATTTCTTGTCTGGTTATCTTGTGTAAATAGTTTTCCTGAGATGTGCTCACTTTCCCTTATTTTCTCTATCTGTTGCATCTCAGTATTTGTCCAAATGTTGGTCTTTTATGCCCTAAATATTTCATTAATTTTGTATTAATTTACATAATTCATTAATGGTTTAGTTTCCCTCTATCTGTTTCCCTGTATTTATGTCCAATTCCTGTCACCATGATACAAAAATGCAGAGAAGAGCAACAAAGATGATGAAGGGTCTGGAGGCCAAGTTGTAGGGTGAACAGTTGAGGGAGCTCGGTATGTCTAGTGGGATGGAACCCATAAATGGAATACACAACTAGGAGGATATAAATTGTTGAAAAGAAACACGCCCAACTCAAAAAGAGGGGGAGGAGTTGCATTTTATGCAAAGAATTACTACACTTCTACAGAAATATACAATATTCTTATTGACTGTGTTAATGCTGCTGAAGAAATCTTACAACCAACAGCAGGAAAAAGTCCACGAGTATTTGCAGTCTCAGTGAATGTGGTTTGTCTTGTGAGTTATTGTTGAACCTCTGCATGAAATAGCAAATGACATTCAGCTACTGGTGTTTCACTCTGCCTTTAGCTTGTTCTAAGTATACATGTAACTCTTAATAGTGAAGGAGATGGTGAAATAATTGATCGTGTCTCCTGGGACTTATTTGCTCACCGAAGACAACTTTGGTTTAAAAGAACTGTGATTTAACAAAAACTGTTGAAGCCTTATGTGCAAATTTCTCACACTTTAGTTGTAGTGGGAAAATGGCCATAGCAAGCAATATTGAGGATAACTTAACTTGCTGTCTGTTCTTTACAGTAAAACTAAACGGAGGTCGGCATGTTCAAGGGATATTAAGAGGTTTTGATCCATTCATGAATTTGGTGATAGATGAGTGTGTGGAAATGGCACCTGGTGGACAACAGAACAACATAGGGATGGTGGTAAGCAAAAATAAGAATTAAGTTATAAGAATTGTTGAAGCTGTTTTGCCGGGGAAAGGAATGTTAGGCTGTTGCATTCTGTCATGGCACAGTACAACGGCACACTCTTTCATGTTCAAGAATTATATAAATAGAGTTGCAATATAAATCAACTTGTGTTGATTCTAGCAGTAAGGAAGCAATTAGCATTTGTATTTTGTGATTTAGGTAAAAACTCAAATTCTCGTCCAGGCACTTTTGACACTTAAGAACCTTAAGAACCTTTGCCAAGACTCTTAGATTGGGATCACCAGAAGCACTCGACAGATGCTATCCTAGTGGGGCAAAAATGCTCCCATGAAAGACTAAGCAATCTGTCATGGATCTTTCTGGATTACAGCTGTAGAACAGTTAGCCACCTTGAAGCTAGTTTAATTTTTTTTCTTCAAATTCATTCTTAGCTATGCTAATTATAATTATCTATTCTGATCTCTAGGTAATACGAGGAAACAGCATTATTATGCTGGAAGCCCTGGAACGAGTATAAAAAATGAAGGACTGGCTGTTACTGCAGTGTGGGCAATTTTTATTGTTAGTTCTACAGGAACATTCCATGTTTACATTTTTTAATAAATTCTGAAAAGTTGGTATGACTTGTTTCACAACTTTGAAAAATTGGGGAATGTATGAAATTGGAAAAAAATAAAATCCAGGTACAGGAATGGAGATAGGATAATATTAGTGTTCCACATATTTCGCTTAATAAACAAGTGAACAAAACAATCCCAAACAAGTTGAATGAGAAATGAACTTATGCTGGCAATAGTGATAAGCCAGTGTTCTGAGCATTTAAGATCCCGCTTTATGATTTTAGAAGTCCTCAACTTATGACCAATTGTTAAACAATCATTTTGAAAATACCGCTTGGACGGGCAGTTCCAGCTGTCATGTTTTGCTCCATGATCTGGGTGTCAGCAACTTGGTCACACAACAGTTGCCAAGCACCCTGCAACCATGGGCCACTTGTCTTCTCTGCCAGCTTCCTGAGAAAATTGGGGGAAGCTGGCTGGGAAAGGTGCAGACAGCCAGGAAACGGAGGCTCTCTCCTGGCAGGCAGTTCCTTGGGCGTGAAAGGGCATTCGGGTTCAGTCCCTTCCCAAAGGTCTGGGCTCTCTTTCTGCAGAGGAACTCCTGTGAAGAAGGCTGAGGTCACCCGAAGGCCTGGGGTCTGCAGGCGACCCAAACCCTTCTGCCCTGTGCACAAGAGACAAGATGAAATGTCTGGCAGGCTGTAGAAACAGCTCAGCTCTTTGTCTCTGTGACTCTGTTTCCTTCAATGCATTTTTTTTTTTGGGGGGGGGGGGAGGAGAGCTACCTGCCCTTCTTTTGACAGGCAGCTCTTCCTCTGTCTGCTTAGCAACCTGTATAATCACTTCATGATTGCAGCCAATTAGAGCCAGGATTGCGGTCATTGAGCAAAGCAATCGTGTGGGTGTCTTGTTTAATGACCACTTTGCTCAACAACTGAGAATCTGGTCCTGCCAATTGTAGCCGTAGTTCAACGTGAACCTCCCATAATGTAACCCTCTTTGGTTGTATTGGTGTGACATCTTTGTAGAATTCTCAAATGCAGATCCTTAGCCAGGCATTAGTGAAAAAGCACAACAGCACCACTACAATGTGCTTCCCCCACGTTTAATAAAGTTAGAAAGTATACCCAATCTGTTGCCTGCAATTTGCTGCTACCCACTTCTCTGCCTAACAGTCACGAGTGGATGGCCATAGAACCACACACCTGGCAGTAGAGGTATGTTGTTTCGTGCTGCTTTTAGGTAAAAAAAGCCGCTTGCTACTACAATTTTCCTGAGTGCCTGAATAAGCATCAAAAGGCACAAAGGGATAATTTTGACTTCTCTCCATTTTATACCTCATTTTCCCCTCAACCTATATTTTTTTAATATGAAGTTTGGTCTAGTGGTGAAGGCACCAGGCCAGAAACCAGGGGACCGAATTCCTGACCTGTCTTAGGCATGAAAGCCAGCTGGAGGACTTTGGGCCGGACCCTCTGCCCACAGCAAGGCAACAAGCCAGCATCAATTCTTGCCACAACCGAATGGCTCAACTCTCGTTTGATCTGCTACTTATGCGTGGAGTTTGTCAAAAGCAATCCTGGATGTCCAATTTCCTTCACCTTCAAGAAAAAGGAGGGGCTTATTTAGAACTGATAACTTAGTTTTAATGTGCAGCTGAATTCTCTTACAGATCCTCATTTGCATAACTACATTAAAAGCTTATATAATACAAATTTTAAAGGGCATCACTTCAGTCATTTGCACAGCTCAATTCAGAGATTCAAATTAGGCATATTCATTTTCTTGTGTGTCATTCCCCAAACTAATGGCTTCCAGAATTATAAAAAATACCTTCCAATCAAAACTAACGAATTGTTGGGTGTCACTGTCTGTGAAACTAAGTACATGAAGTCTCTTGACAACTTTATCCAGTGGTTTTAAGAAACGCTGCTATATACAATACCTGAGTTGTCAGCCCGAAGGCTTTATTCAAAGTTTTTCTTGTTCCCCAAAGAATTACTTACAAGAAGTAATGTGATTTGCAAAAGAAATCCAGAAGGTACAGTAGTTTTTAAAAGGTGGTTACCAAGAATTCCCTTTAAGCCTGTTTTCTTGGGAGTACCAAAGTAGGATGAACAGTGATGGTTGCCAACTTTTGGAAGCTTGAAACGTTTTCCAAACCTTTCTTACCTCACTAAAAATATTTTGGCCCTTGTAGGAATGTTCTGAGCTTAAAACTGCCCTAGTTATTGCCAAGCGAAGACATTTGAAGCTTCTTAACATTTTAGGCTGCAAATGGAGCATTTCAAAATCCAGGCATTTTGCGCACTCATACCCAGCACCCAAGATACGCTGCAAGCTTCCCCTGCCCTCCGATGCCGCCCCCCAATCCTTGTCATGCCAAGTCAGAGCTCGGTCTTGAGCCTCTCATGCAAGTCCTCTTGATCGATCCTGTCCATCTTATTGTACCAATGGTGGTGAGCCAAGAGGGCCGCGTTTTTGGCAGAGATTGCGCTCATCTCCATGGCGCTGGCTGCCCATTCTATGGCATTGACGTAATACATGTGGTCGTGGAGAACGAAAGGTGGGCACTTCTGGGGAGGGGCATAGTGGGGGTAGGCCAGCCACTTCTGCACTTCCACCAAGTCATAGGATGAGAAAAGCAGCTTCAATTGCTCATCGGTCAGCAGCCGGTGGGAGAACACTTTCCAGACCGGAGGGCCCAGGTGGCTGCCCTTCACCGGAGAAACCACCCCAAGGCTGCTGACAAACAGGTGAGGATCCTCCATCGTGAGAATGGCCTTCAGGCTGAACTGGGAAGGGTCCCGATAGCCGAAAAAAGAAGCGTTGATGTGCCCGTGGACAAATGTGGCCACCGTCTGGTGGTAGGGAGGGGAGAACTCGGGGATCGGGGGGTCGAAGTTGCGGAAGGTTATGTTGGCGATCTTGCGCTGCAAGGGAGTGGCGATGAGGAGGATGTCGTAGACCCCCGATGTCTCTCCGGACGTGGAGTTGTAGGTAACCTCATACTGCTTTGTCAGGCCACCTTCGAAGCAACCAAAAGAAATTAAAGCAGCATTTTCACTGGCTGAGACAGAGATTTGGGAGGTGTTTTCCCAATGCAAAAAGGGGCAGGGTAGGCATTTCTGTGCTGGCTGCACGATTCTCCAGCCAAACGCAGACACCCCTCGGGATAACTTTCTCCATGTCGCGACCACCGCCAGTAGAATTGGTCCCAGGGCTCATTTCGCCCTGAAGCAGTGACCCAATCGGATAACCCGCCTGCCAAGTTTCCTCATCTCCAAAATGGCAGGTGCTGACAGCCAAAGAGCGGGGTTGCTCTTCGGCTCCCTGGTCTCTGATGAAAATTCTTCCCAACCATCCCGGGTGGTTGGAAAGGAAGGACTGGACCCCCCCACTGCCCCATACGTTGTGTTTGGGGGATGGCAGCACACCCCCCAGGCTTCTCTGTCTCCCTCTTCCCACAGCTCCCTCTTCCAATCTGGGGCTGCTGCTCCTGAGTTTTAGCTCTGGGAAGGAGCTTTCCACGACCGCCGTTTTCACTCTGCTGATGGCCCACCCCCCTCAGGCGGGATTTCAAATAATCTAATTTTAAAAAATGGGGAGCTCGCCTGGAGCAAAGCCCCCACGTCCAGGGCCATCTCTTTCCCCAGCAATGGCGCAGCACTCGCCATCCTGAGACTGTAGGCACCCATCAGCGCCAGCTCTTGTGGCCAAAGACAAGGGACTGGGGAAGTGGTGGACCCAAACTTGTGGAAGGCGACGGATTGCTCACTTCTTTTTTCAACCTTCCATGACTTTCACGTTTGATAAACTTGTATTTTGCAAATGTGAAATAAATAACTAAATATGAGGCAGCCACACCTGCACGGCCCTTGGGCCTTGTTTTTGCTTCTATGGAGATAACGGGACCAGAAACCAGCTGGGCTTTGGAAGCATACAGAAGGCCCGAACACACCAATTTATTGCCACCTTCTACCGACCAAAGTCCTCCACTTGCTCCGGCCAAAGATACAGCTCCTAGAAACAAACAAAGCCCAGAGAAAAAGTGGTCAGACACACCTAAACAAGACGGTAGCTGAGGCTGAAGTGATTCAGTGACAGGGTCAGAAATAAAACTAAGCCAAGAATTTAAAAACTGCATTATGGCTTTAAAAAATACGTGAACCCAGCCACCGGGCTCTTGTGTTTAAGGCTTACTCTTATGAATGAATCAAACTGCTATGGCTTACTGAGTAATGCGCAAAACCAGCCACCCTATAAAATGCAAGAAGGGAAGTAACTGTGATGCTCCACCTTCAACTGTCATTTGTTACCTTTCAGAGGGGGGTGGAAAAATCCTGTCTTTTTTTGTGGGGGGGGGATTTGTTTCCCCCATTCATGTGTTTTTGCACAGGGACATCTAGAAACAAAGTCCCCTCTTAAACGGTATGCCTGAGGGTCTTGGTACATTTTTCTTCCAATCCCGTCTGATTCTCAGGGACTGGTCCCCGTGGTTTTCTGGGCCAGTTTTTTCAGAAGCGGAGCAAGTGGTGGAAGAAGCACAAGTGGTGCGACACTACATTTGCTACTTAGGAGCGAACAAGCCGCTTACCTACGAAGCCATTGATGCTGGCACTTTGCCCATAGTTGACTCTCATGATAGGGGTGACCATCTCGTTGATGAATGCCTGAGAAAACCTGGCCTTTTGCAGGGACTCATCGATGGTCTGGTTCAACATGTGAAGGAAGGCCGTCCCTCCGAGGGCATGGAGAAGAGTCTCAGGGCTGCTGAAGGCGTAGTCGTGCGACTGGTACCGATAGATCCTGGACCGAAAAAGCGGGGGTTAGGAGCGGGAGGGGGCGAACAGACCAGGAACCCAGAGCTGCCATGTATCATCCTTTGATAGTATCAGCTAACGTCTCCAAGCTGGTGCAGGAAGTTCTGCTTTCGTCTTCCACCATCCCCCAGATGATGAAGACCGTAGAAATCCACCAGATTGGGGCTGTTGTTTTGAAGAGAGTCCTGGTTCTGCCAAACCTCTTCCATTTGAGAATTATGGAGGCCCCTCAGGAGCCTTCAGTGCAGCAGAAGTTTTATGGTAGCCTTCCCCAGATCTGCGCCTTGCAATTAGCCCGTCTCTGAGCTCTGCAGGCAGTTCCTTTGGCCTCCTGGCCTGTGCGCTGCTGCAGTAC